CGGGAACGGTCAGGTTTGTGGGAAAAACAATATTTTTCTTGTCGTGATTATACGTTCGATCGTGAGAATTGCTTTGAACTTATCAGAATATAAAAAAACCACATCAGTTGGGAAACCTCGCCTCGTTCAAGATATAATAAAATTAATATACCTACTTCCAAAGATTATCAAAAATTGATTGAGTCTCTTCTAAGTCTTCTTTTACAATAAAACGTTCTTTTCGTTATTACAATATAAATAGATAATAAATTTTAATACTAACCAATCTAGATAACACGAGACAGTAAAATATTTTTCATAAAATACATTCAATATCAATACTACAATTACCTGTTTCCCAGTTATATTATGTATATTTTCCGATTCTGGTGGAAACACCTGTTTAAATACGGATATGTATTGTTTGTACGTCCGTATCTCCCCCAGCAAACAACACGATATTACAAGCAATAAGATGGCAGGTAATATCAACTTATTATTTATTGATGGTCTAATTAAAAACAAAATATTATTAAACTTTTTAAAGGCAATAAGTAGGTAATGAGATCCCATTTCTGATCTCCCGTGTAATATTTCTAATCTTAGATACATGTAATGCAAGTGATGGTAAATCAGTCATGATATTATATTTGATCAATTTTAGGATCGTAGGAGAACTAACGTTACTGACATTGCTCAAGGAATTGCTCAGCTGAAGTGGCATTGGGCGGTACACATAGCGAGAAGAACTGATGGCCCTTGGAGCAGAAGAGTTCTGGGGGCCAATTCTACTAAATAAATTTCGAAAACGGTCGGTAGGCCTCCCATCAGGTAGACCGACGATCTTATAAAGGTTGCGGGAAGCAGCTGGATGCGGGCCACGCAGGACCGATCGTCGTGGAAATCTATGGAGGAGGCCTATGCTCAGCAGTGGGCGTTTTACAGCTGACGATGATGATCAATTTGCATTTACAATGCTATACTGGAAAATATTTTAAATGAAAAAGCCTTAAAATCCATTTTGTCACTTTTCAGCAAAGCATAACATTGTGAATGCAAAATTTATGAAATATAATAATGGGAACAAATAAATCCATTTTGTCACTTTTCAGCAAATCATAACATTGTGAATGCAAAATTTATGAAATATAATAATGGGAACAAATTTTCATCTTTATCGAAAGTTTACCTGAACATTGATGAAAGTACACTGTTTTAGCAAAAAAGTAACAAGTGCTTGTAAAATTCTTCAGTCCTGTTGGTTCCTGGGTAGTTCAGTGGTTAGAGCAGTCACCCTGAATGAGTCGTGGGTTCGAGTCCCATCTCAGAGAACCAGGATTTATTTAATCATTTTTCATTAGAAATAGTTATATAATAGTTATAAAATGTTCAATGCGTTTGACAAAATGTAAAAATATCGGGATCTTCATTTATTTTTTACTAGGAATTGTGTGCCATATCAAACCGATGTAGCAATCGACGTGGTCCTAGTGGATTGATTTGTAATTTAACCATATTATAAACTTATTATTTTACTATTCAGACGATTGTAATAAATAAAAATATCATGTATATCGCGGTTGTAGCGTGTAATATTTCCTACTATAGTTTCGACGACTGCGACATTGCTTATTAAGAGTGAAACAATGACAAAAATCCAGCTGTTATTTTTTTATCAATAAGTTTCTAAATCTAAGGCCGACGACAGGAGGTAGGATGGCTTTCTTCCTCCATTTTATTTTTAATTGATAGGTATTGCTTATTCATTATAAGAAAAAAGCTGCTCAGTTTTAAGATGTATTTTTAAAAGACTTTCTTTCACGAAGCTGGTCTGATAAAAATCCATAGTAGTACATTTTTACCGGTAATTTAGAATTTTATGTAACACGTACATTAAATCAGGATCAAATATTTCATAAATTTAAATCTTGATTTTAACAATATATATAATCAAAATTTAATAGAGTAAATAACAATCATACTTACTCATTTTTTCACACAGAATAAAGCCTAACCAAGATCATTGTTTTGTTCAGGTCACGTCCACGGAACATCTCACGGGACTCATCCAGCCGAAAACAAATGTATAAAACGATTCTTATCCTCAAATAGGCGTGCCGTGCACAAAACGGGCAATTAGCGCCCTTTTTAAATAGGGCAAGCGTTTAACCGTACCATTGACCCCAGTGAAAGGATCCCGTATCAGATACAAGTGTCAATATAGATGTTATCTGGTGCGCGGGCGCGCGCTCTCACGCGTGCCGGCGCGTGCGCCCCGCGGATGTCACCTGTGCGAGAATACATAAGCACCAGACACGACAACACAACTAGAACATTGTTTGCCTACTTCTGTTTATATTTTCAACCTAAAATATTAAATAATAATAATAAATAATCGAAATTTCAGGAATAACATTTACGATATTTCAATAACCACATGACATTTGCCCATGTTATTGTAGCTATTTGATTAAATATATTGGACCTCACCACAACAATACTCTAAAATAAAAAAGTATTTCGTTATAAAAATTTTGATTTTATTAATATCATTTGTAACTGAAAAAACTAGTACTTATGTATACTTATGTATGTTTCAAAGTTCTTATAACCCACTTATATCATTAGTGCAATTATAGATTAGGTAATCTACCTAGACCTATTAAAATGTGAATATCTACTATGAAATCTATTCAGAAAAAAATGAGATTGTTAAAAGGCATAAGATAAATAGATAATTACTAACAATTTTGCAATCTACAAAATCAAAAGTATAGTGTGAGTTTGATGGGGATTGGATTCTGTTACAAGGTGAACGTATTGATTAATCTTTGACGGTTGACGGTGCGGGTTCCCGTTCATGCTGTGGAGTCTATAACAATGGCTGTTTACATGGGAACTTTGGCACTTTTCACGATGTGCATCCGCTACAATAACTCGCTTTTGCTATGTACTCAACCGATAAAGTATTCAATAAATACACCTAAGTATTATTATTTGTTAAATGAAGCGGAAATGTAACTATATGTAACATACCATTTGAATTCAAGTAAAACATATTCCAACATAACCAAAAATTGTATTTTTTTAAGTTCAGTATGTCGACGGTCTATCTAACTCTTCCCTGAAAAGTTTTTTAACAACTTCTTACTTTTCTTTTTTTTTTACAATATTAATATCTTTTTTCTTCAGATTAAGCACCCCAAGTTTTGAAGGAAAGAATATAAATTAAAGATATATAAGAAGGATAATCAATATTGGCCAGCGATTTTGTTTCTAGGTCTAGCAGTTTCTTTTTATAGATCATTTATTAGTCGTGAAGTTACTCCACATGTAATACATATGGAACCAGATGGAATAACTGTAAGTACTTTAGCGACTTTTCTATCGATGTTAGTTAGACATAGTTCATAGTTAACACTCTGCAACACCATCTTTGTTTATCATTAACAATACAATCACGTCCCAATTTGATTGGGACGTTTATTACGGTTTATTTATCTATATATATATAACTCAAAGGTGACTGACTGACATAGTGATCTATCAACGAACAGCCCAAACCATTGGACTGATCAGGCTCAAATTTGGCATGCAGGTAGATGTTAGGACGTAGGCATCCGCTAAAAAAGGATTTTGATCAATTCTACCCCCAAGGAGATACAATAGGGGATGAAAGTTTGTATGAAACTTTGTCAATTTTAAACCGATCGGGCTGAGACTTTGCATGTATAAAGCTACTATGACGTAGGCATCCCCTAAAAAAGGATTTTGATAAATTCCACCCCTAAGGGGATAAAATAGGGGATGGAACTTTATTTTAGGTATTTTACACGATATAATGAATAAATTCGTTACAAATGCTGCTCAAAGTAACTTTACCACGCGGACGAAGTCGAGGGCAAAAGCTAGTCATAAATAAAATAATTATACTTGTCCAGAATCCATGTTGTGTTGGCTGAATAAAAATATTGGTTTGACTAGTCTTGCTATAAGGCAGTTGCAAGTTTTAGGGGCATTATTGTATGAGACGCAGTGGCGTGATAACGTATATTCGGAGCATGGTGGAAATGTGGTGATTCTATAAGTTTTATTACAAATGGGTCTACAAAAATGGAGAGATAATAATACAGGATTTTGTCAAACAACGGATTATGACTGCTGCTACTCATCTAGTGGGGACTAATGAAGTTATAAACAAATAAGCATCCAAAAGCTTTTCTAAGTTTTCTAAAAGTTTTTACTTGTGTTGACTTTCTCCAGACGCGCAATCACACAAAACATGATTGATATTTTAATTAAGTATATCACAGAAACTGAACTGAAACAGATAAATTTTGGATATTAATAATTTTAGCTAAAATATTTATAATTTCCACTGTAGAAACTGAAATGATATATGAAATAAAATGCAAATGACATGAAAATATCTTTATTCAAGTAAGCCGTACTTCAAAACACAGGAATATAATAAAATAGTCCTGTGTTTTGAAGTACGGCTGAAATATACAACATTTTTGTACGTTGTTCAAGTTTTTAATTATACCTTATATTGAGGTTTTGTTAGATTTTAGTCTATAGAAGCACTCTGTGCTTTTGCAATTTTCATCTGGTCTGAGTCGTTCCACTTGAGATGTTTATTTTCTTTCGACTGTCAGTGTTTGTAAGCGTTTTATAAACGTACGAAGCCATATTGTCTGAATAAATAAGTATTTTCACTCTGAGGTATCTGGATCTGAGTTATTTGATATAGGTAAACATGCTTTGTAAGACTTTGTTTGTAGAAAAAAATGAGTTTTCCAATAATGATTCAATGGACCAAAAACTAGCACTTATTTATTCTCTTCTATTTATGAGTAACTTGTAGGCCGTGGAGTCACGTCTCCTCACGCGAAACAAATTGTTGAGTGAACATACATTTAGATATTAATTATACCTCTTATGGTTAAGTGAGAAGAGATACTTTACTGATATTACCAAACAAAAGTACTGCAACTTTAAAATTATTTAACATCAGTACATCATTTTATTGTATCATGAATCCATTGTATATAGGGACTAACGGGGGTGGCTATTCCAAAATCCAAAGTGTATCCATGTGCTTTGAAATCCGGCCTACATCCAAAGCTGGAACTAGCTGTTAACACGCCGACGATTCCCGAAGGATGTAGTAGAGGCCCTCCAGAGTCCCCACCACATGCAACAGATGTCCCTCCACATCGGGGACTTAAACACATATTTGGACGAATGACATCTGTTCCTTTTTCCGAGCACTTCCTCACTAAAAACTTTAACACTTGTAAATTTTTATTAAGATGAAATGTGGACGCAAATACATTACCGTGACTATGTTTCGTGATACCGTATCCAGCAGCGACTATTTCTTGACCAAACAATGTCGAGTAGTCTACCGCGCTTATCTTCTTGTAACTATCCAAATTGATTGGCATTGTTTTCAAGAGAGCGATATCATTCCTAATGACAGTAACCGTCGTTCTTTCCAAGAAAGCCGAATTCCGAGTTATACCTTATCATTAATTTACTGAAGCCAAGCTTAAATTGAGTTTTTTCCATATTGATATCTTGAAAGCAACGAGCTGCAGTTAGCACCCAAGTCGATGTTAGAACAGAGCCAGTGCAAACGGGGATAATCCACACTTTCGTACTATCATTAACTATTTCGAAATAATACTGTATTCTGACTATGTTCTTTTGTTCTTCCGAAGTGGCATCTTGACCACCGACTATTCGCAAGGAAGCTTTAATAGCGTAGCAGCTACATAAAAATTTATATAAGTAAAAAAATATTAGTAGCTTTATAACATTCATTATTTTTTTTTTCGAAATATGAAAATACGGAATAACAACAAGAGAAGATGTAATAAAATAAGCAAATGTAATATATATGGGTACTTACTTCGAAACTAAATTTACTTCTTATCAAATACTACATACACCTTTTGATATGTAAGCAAATCTCATAAAAATAATCTTGAATATATAAACCGTTTTTTAAATATTGAGTTATTTTTCACATTTCTTAAGGAATGGAATCGGATAGACAATATACAATATTCAATCTTATAGACTTTTTTTTATTAAAATTAAGTTACTTACACTTCCCTGCTCATAGACACTGCTCAACACGGTCTTGGGATATTATATGTATAAACTGATATAATATTTTCTTGTTTGCTTTTGAAAGATATTTATATATCTTTGAAGTCATTATTAAATCAGCTTATGTCACAAAATAAAACAATTTTATTTAGAAATTTTATAAGCGAAAACAAAAATAACCCTAAAATGTACAAAGTAATAATATAAATGTGAACTAAATTAAATATAAAAATCATAAAATCAAGCAAGAAATGTAAATTAATAATCATTAAAAGCACCCTTGACTTTTGTATGGTCTTCAAAATTAATGATGAGGTTATCAATATCCCGTTGAGGAATATTGTCACGGGTGCTGCGGAGATAAAAAAAAATGGCCTGCTATATATAAATTTTCGCGCGTATGCTTCAGAGCTCTTTTTTTGTAGCAAGTCGAGTGTGCTCGATTGGATTTCCATCTGATGAGCGTGCTTGCCACTCTAGGGATATCACATCGTTCTGCTGTAACAAAGCTGATAACAAGCCACTCTTGCTGTATGTGGAAGGGCACTGTCTTGCATAATTCGTAAATCTTAGCCCATTTGTATTCGATGTGGCAAGACTATAGATCCGAGCTTGACTTGTGGAAAACGTGGTCGGTTTTTTCACCAAGCCGATTTTTCTCCAAAACCATGATTCTACCGCCTCGGTGTGGATTTACTTCTCAAGGGTGGTTAAGCTGGGTGATGAGTAGAGGAATTTGAATTTGTGTAAAATCTAAACCTGGACTCGTTAATAAAATGTACCACAACCCATTGACGCTGTTTCCAGTTCAATTGCTCCCTTGCCTATTATATATTGCTTCCACGACTTTTACTTCGTAAAGGTGGAATTTGCACTAGTCAATGAGGGTGAAGATTGGCTTTGTGCAGTCTTCTCTTGACAGTCCGGTCCCTTACGTGAAATTGGTTTTCAAAATATAGTTGTTGAAGTTATTTTATCCTGCTGTAATATTTGGTTCTCTTCTGGTAATGAGTAGCTAAAATTGGTCCTGCCTTGGAGTTGTAATGCGGCTTCACATAAATCGCTTAATTTTTTGGCAATAGCCTTGCGATATAATGACATTGTATGGAGCCAGCTACTAACATTCGTATGCTTCTAACATTGCCTACCGGGGTAAATGCTGATGGTGCATTTTCATAAAGATGATTAAAAAGCTCTTAAGATTGCTATATTACAGAAAAAATAATTGGTTTATGATAAAAAATAATAACAATATCAGTCTTAACAATTTAATATTTTCCCACATACATCTTTATTTATTATTATTTTTATTATTTATAGAATTTCGAATTGTTTCTCAATAAGTTTGATATAATTCTTTTTTATTTGATTCCTTGTATTTTTTTGTAATTCGACCTAATCTTTAGATCGTCTTGAGCAGTGTATACACATATTTTCTGTATTTTTTCTATTAAAGTAAAATATATTCACAATATTATCATAAGACACAGAAATAGATAATATTTCTCACAACTGCCAAAATCGAATTTAAAATAACAAGTTATCATATGGCTAATATGATAACTTGTTATTTATGGATTCGCATGGCGGTTTGAAGGTATTGCCATATCTGATTTCCCGGGTTCGATTCCCGGTTGAGTCAATGTTGAAATTAGACTTCTCTATATTGTCCCAGGTCTGGGTGTTGTGGTATTTTCGTTGTCTTAGATGATCCACAATACGGGGGCTTTAGCTATTGATCTTGGAATCTGTGCAAGGTATGTGATGTTGACTAATATAAGAAAAAACACCATCAGCCTTTTAATCTTCTTACTGCTGGGGCACAGGCCTTTCCTACGGATTGACATTTGTGTGTGTGTGCGGTTTAGAGGCTTTTTTCGGATTTTAGTAGCATAGGCGTAGTAACCATCCATAAGGAAGGCCTGAGCCCCTGCAGAGGGGACGTAAAAGGGCTGGCGTTGACGATGATGATGAGGCGTAGTAAATATAAAATGAATAGACTATATGAATAACCCGGTATGAAATAAAACCGAAGAGGTAATCAAAACAGTAAATTTTATTAGTAGTAGAGACATTAATATCAGTAGGTATATGTTCACATTCAACTTAAACACAAAGTTGGAAAGCTAACTAAACTTTTGATACAACTTCAAAGTAATGACATACAGCAGTGGACTGCTTGCATGCCCCCTGCTGCGGGCAGGAATCAATTTGACCAGTTGTCCCTCTAGTGCACCAGTGGGCGAGCGATACACGATGGCTTCGCAAACATCGCCTTTCATATTCTCTGTATGACGCACTTTAATCGCAGCTTATTTGTTCAATAAAATCCTTTTACCCTTCTTCATTTTAAAAGCGCATTTTATTAGATATGGCGAGACGTGAGCATGAAACAATTACTGTTGTGGCATACGACTACGCTGTCTTTTGGTCGCTGTCGCTATAAAAGAAATTTCTTGTTTCAAATTTTTTAGAGTGAGATCAAGCTGTAGTCGGATATTTAACTTATTTTTTATTAAATTAATTTTTGTGTGTATTTAAGCAAAAGCTAACCATATATATTTGAAATGTGTGAATTAAGCCGTTTCATTTGATTCTGATGATTGAATAATATATTTATTTTGCTTCTTATTTTATTTTATTCATGTAACGTCACACAGCTTATAGCACGTGGACAACTAAGATGCTTCTAATGATACCTCTACCCTATTTTACTATTTGTTCAGTTACGGTGTGTAGTTTCGAAGTTATAAGGGAACAGATGAACATTCTTACAAATACCGGTCAAAATATTAACCCTCCTTTTCGCTTCGCCGTAGTCGGGTAAAAATAAGATGTAGGTTGATATTGGGGAGTTTTATTAGATAACTAGTGGACGCCCGCGACTTCGTCCGCGTGGAAGTCGGTATCCCGTGGGAGTGAGAAGTTTTCCCAGTAAAAAGTACCCTATGTGTTATTCTGATGTATAACCTATATTGCTGTAAAGTTTTATCCAAATCCGTCCAGTAGTTTTTTCGTGAAAGAGTAACAAACATCCATACATCCATACTTACAAACTTTCGCCTTTATAATATTAATAGGATAGGATGATTGAATAATATATTTATTTTGCTTCTTATTTTATTTTATTCATGTAACGTCACACAGCTTATAGCACGTGGACAACTAAGATGCTTCTAATGATACCTCTACCCTATTTTACTATTTGTTCAGTTACGGTGTGTAGTTTCGAAGTTATAAGGGAACAGATGAACATTCTTACAAATACCGGTCAAAATATTAACCCTCCTTTTCGCTTCGCCGTAGTCGGGTAAAAATAAGATGTAGGTTGATATTGGGGAGTTTTATTAGATAACTAGTGGACGCCCGCGACTTCGTCCGCGTGGAAGTCGGTATCCCGTGGGAGTGAGAAGTTTTCCCAGTAAAAAGTACCCTATGTGTTATTCTGATGTATAACCTATATTGCTGTAAAGTTTTATCCAAATCCGTCCAGTAGTTTTTTCGTGAAAGAGTAACAAACATCCATACATCCATACTTACAAACTTTCGCCTTTATAATATTAATAGGATATAATTAAACTCAAAGTATTGGCTTTTTTTTTGTAATTTTCATCTATTAAATATGATACTTTTGAAGATGAACTTTTTATTGGTCAAAGTTATTTCAACCAGTCAACAGATCCTAAATTGGTGGATAAGTAAAAATTTCTCGCAATTGTAGGTAGGTATCATTCATTGAATAAAGCTTATTGGTAGGTATTACAATTTTGACATTCCTTCTTGGATTCATCAGAAGTTGAAACTTTTAATTTTAAAATATTATTTGATTTTGCATTTTCTTTATTATTCTGACATGTTAACGTCATATGTTACTTAGGTAAACCGACTGCAACGACTGCAAATGCAGCCGCGACCAATGGCTTTACGTGCCTTCCAAAGTCGAGATAATATTTTTTTGGTCACCCATCCTGTGATCGATCCTTGCGAATGTTGCTTAACAACAACACTACATTAACTTTTTCTAAGTAGATGCAAAGTGAAGCAACGGCGATAAAAAACAAATGACGAATGACCATCTATTTTAACCGACTTCAAAATTGAAAACGTCGACTTTATATGTTCGATGGCGATGTATGTTTTTTTTTGTTTTTATGTATGTTCACCGATATTTTCTCAAATTTTTGACTGATTTTCAAAATACTTCTTTTATTCGACAGCTTGATTGATCAAGGTCCTATTTAAGTTTTATCGAAATCGAATAAATATATTCTTAATACAAAATGCTTAAAAAATCCACTTGGTCCCTATAAATATTTCAGTATTATATATTTCAATATAGCACTGTGAATGCGAAATTTATCAAATATAATAATCAAATAAGTAGTTTTCCTTTTATAACAAAACAAAATAAGCTTTCCAACAGATATCACTTAAATATTAAGAT